GGACATGGGGACCCTGCTCTCCGCACACTCGCAGACCCTCCTCTCGCGGGGTAGCCAGAGGCCCTGTGCCGAAATAAAATGCAAAACAGGGCCGGGGACGTGCAGAGCTAACTGGACGCCTGTCCAGCGGGGGGCACTGTCCAGCGAGGGGCACTCGGGGAGGTCACCTGGGTCCTGCTGGGCTCTCCGTGTCCCCTGGCACCAGGACGTGGGGACCCTGCTCTCCGCACACTCGCAGACCCTCCTCTCGCGGGGTAGCCAGAGGTGCCCGGAGCCTCTCAAGGCCAGCCTCCGCCAAAGCGAGGCCCTGAGCCACTCAGGGAGGCCCTGTGCCGAAATAAAATGCAAAACAGGGCCGGGGACGTGCAGAGCTGACTGGACGCCTGTCCAGCGGGGGGCACTGTCCAGCGAGGGGCAGTCAGGGAGGTCACCTGGGTCCTGCTGGGCTCTCCGTGTCCCCTGGCACCAGGACATGGGGACCCTGCTCTCCGCACACTCGCAGACCCTCCTCTCGCGGGGTAGCCAGAGGTGCCCGGAGCCTCTCAGGGGGACGCTGGATTCTTGAACCCAGAAGCCGTCAGCCCCTGGCCGGGCTGGGCACCTCGCCCCTGACTCCCACCAGGTTTTCAAACCTATTTTCACGTTCGGCAAAAGAAAGGCCCAAAATCCAGACAGACGGACATTTCCCCCCCTGGAATCCGTCCGTCCTTCAGGGTGACCTAAGGCTCTATTTCATTTCATTCTATTTTTTTTTTTTTTTGTACTGGGGACCGGTCAGTACGGAGCCACACCCCGGCGCCTTTATTTTTATCATTTTTAGGTTTTTTTAAATTATTTTTTTAAATTTTATTTTATTCATTTTTTTGGGGGGTGGTACCGGCCGTTGAATCTGGGGGTGCTTAGCCACCGAGCCCCGTCCCCAGCCCTTTTTATGTTTTATTTAGAGACAGGGTCTCCCTGAGCTGCTCAGAGCCTCTTTGAGTTGCTGAGGCTGGCCTCCAACTCGTGATCCTCCCGCCTCAGCCTCCCGAGCCACCGGGATGACAGGCACGGACCACCGCGCCTGGCTCAAGCCGTTGATCACATGGTCGTCGTCACCTTGTGAGAGCGTGGTGGCAGGCGGAGCATGGTGGCGGTGGCCTTCAGGGTGGCAGAGTGTCCCCACCGCAGGGACAGCTGTACGCTCTGGCCTTCTTGTGTGTGCCCTTGTCCTGGAGGGAGGATGGTGACCAAGGACGGTGACGGCATCGGGGTGATAACGGCACCCTCTGCACATGGCCGCTTCTCTCTGGGGGCTTCCTGTTGGTGCTGGGCCGTTGGTTTGGGCGGGTGCCAGCCTCCCTGGTGAGGCTGGGCCTCTACCCCGCCTCTACAACTTCCTGTTTCCTGTTTTCCTTCCCCCGAGCCCCACCAGCGGGTGCCCTGGAAACCGCAGCTGGCCGCCCCCCCGCTCCCGGGCGTCACTTCTCCAGGGGACACCTCTGTGCGCTGAGAAGCGCCCCAAGATTGCAGGTTCTGCCGGCCCCTGGAGGAGGGCACGGGAGCCACGGATGGTTCTAGAGCCCGAGGGACGTGGTATCTTCTCGGTCCCTCTGCACCGAGCTAGCTCCCTCAGACAGAGTGACGGACAGCCAGGGGCCCCCGCCCGCCCAGTGTCCGGCTTCCAGCCAGAGGTGTCTGCAGGGTGATGGCCGTGACCCCCCACACAGCCCCGAGGTCAGAGCCGCTGCCTGGGTTCATCTCCGTGTCCAGCAAGATAAGGAGCTGGAGATAAGCGGGGAGTGGAAATGGTGGAGGAGAACTAGACTGCGAGTGTGATCACAGAGGGAACTTCCCTAGATCCACATCTGGGCATTCTGCTTTTTCTCCACTCCCCCCCCCCCGAGTGTCCAGGGCCCTGTCCCCAGATTCCTCACTGGGTTGAGGTCACGTAGGGAATTGCGCAGGGATCCGGTCTGTCTGGGTGCACCAAGTGCTGCGTGAACAAAGCACCGGGTTTTAGTCTCCTTGGCCTGCATCCCCTCCTTGATGCCTATCTTTTAGGATATGGCCCTTTGCCAGAGCTCAGGACTGGAAGCAGCCCGTTCCACTCCTGCCGGCTCCTCCTTCCACCCATCCATCCCTTGATCCTTTGCCGGGTTATCCCAGCGGCTCTGGAGGCTCAGGCAGGAGGATGGAGAGTTGGGAGGCCAGCCTCAGCCATTTAGCAAGACTCCACCCAACTCAGCGAGACCCTGGGGGTGTGGCTCCCCGGAGAAGCGCCCCCGGGTTCCTCCCCAGAGAAGGACAGTTCCCTTTGGTGGTGACCCGCCCCGCGGTGCAGAGTCCCAAGGGACGGCCAGGTCCGTCTCTGCGCCTGTCACCTCCGCCTGGGTCCCTCCCGCACCCTCAAGTGGGCTGTCACTGTCATGGAGAATCCCGACACGGTCCCTGAGCCACCGTCTGCTCAGGAAGGGACTGTCCCCCTCCCAACTGTGGGGGACAATGTTTCACAGTGACAGAGGACGGGGGGCCGCCGCGGGGTTACACTGTCGCCGGGCCTGGAAGGCGGGTCCCTGAGCTGATCTGCAAAAGGCACCGCATACAGGCGGCGCCTAAGCTCGGCGTAGGTCGACCCAGCCGGTTTGCAAGTCCTCCAGGGGCCCTTGGCCTCTGCCGGGCTGCCCTTGGGTGCGCCTTCGGGCCGCCG